TGTCATTACTTTGGTTGTATGTACGAACTGAGAAAGTAATTAAAAATTAACAATTTAAATTATTTGTAGAAAAGAATGTATTATTGTTGTATAGATGGGTTAAAATAGGATTTAAAGGTTAAGAATATTAATGGAAAGTGTAAAACAGAAGTTGTCGGTTTGTGATATACTTAAACCCCGGGTTTCTAAGGAATCGTGAAGGAGGCGTTTAAAATGGATTATCACCTTCATTTGCAGATTGCTGAACCCATTAAAATCCATTTTATATCGTACACAACACTGTTGTAATGTTATTATAGCTTTGCATGGTCTAGACCCACATTGTAGTATACCAATCGTCATATCTCGACTAGTTGATTCGATCTAGACAAGTGTCCATTGTAAACCGTCTGTCCATTATAATATGGAAACACGTTACATGTCGCAGTTATCTAAATTTTGCATGTTTGACGGTCAAATAAGACCCACATTGTTTTTGATAATGATCGTCGAACATCATGAAATGTTCGACGAAATCTGACAGACAATGGAATAAGCATAGCCTTTTTTATGAATATCGGTCAATATTTAGCGGGTCAAATGGACCCAGGCTTTTGTGTATTTTGAGCCGTATATATTTAGTCATGAAGGACATTTGATAGTATATCCAAGAGGTGTGGTTGACCTATAAATTGATAACAATTTATCTTTTATCTTCTTCAATGTGAGAGTTTAACTTAAACTAGCATATGCCCGGAACATCGTTAGCGAATGTAGGAAATATTGAAAAATGTATTCACATATTATTTTATTTTCAGAGAAAACTGCATATGTAAAAAAACTATCCAAACATTAATATCGACCATAAATTAAATATGAGTACCATTTACTTCCAAATTTCATGATGCGAGCTCTTAAGGTTTACCCAAATCCAAATTTTAGCAAATTTTCCATTTAGCACACATTATTTCCATAAGTACCCTTCTCAACCATCTAACTGAACTACCTGCATACCCCGATCCTACACCCCACAATGATTCCAAATTTAAATTTCAGAATTCCAACTCTATTAATTCACCCACAATTAAAATTTTACCGAATTTAGTAGTAGAATTTCCAAAACTTCCTACTTAACCCAAACCTACACCCCGTCAGTGATTCTAAATCTAAATTTCAGGATTCCAACTCCATAGGTTAACCCACAATTCAAAAATTACCAAATTTAGTACATAGTATTATGAAATGGCAAAACCACTTACTTACCAAATTTTGTACACCTATATACCCTAATCCAAAACTTCCTATATATCCCAATCCACACTGATACTAAATTCAAGTTTTAGGATTCCAACTCTGTCGGTACATACACAATTCAAATTGTACCAAATTTAGTACACAGTTGTACTTAACTTCCTACCTACACTCCCACAGTGATCCTAAAATAAAAATTCAGGATTCCAACTCTATCGGTTCACCCACCAATTCGAATTGTACCAAATTTAGTACACAGTAGTACCAATTTCCAAAACTTTCTACATACCCCAATCCTACTCCCCCACAGTGATCCTAAATCAAAATTTCAGGATTCCAACACTATCGGTTCACCCACAATTCAAATCGTACTAAATTTAGAACATAGTAGCACCAATTTCCAAACCCTCCTACATACCCCAATCCTACACCTCCACAGTGATCCTAAATGAAAATTTCAGTGCACTTAGTATAAATTTAGTGCACTTAGTATACATTTCTAAAACTTCCTATATACCCCAACCCTACACCCCCACAGTGATCCCAAATCCAAGTTTTAGGATTCCAACTCTATCGGTTCACCCACAATTCGAATTGTACCAAATTTAGTACACAGTAGTACCAATTTCCAAAACTTTCTACATACCCCAATCCTACACCTCCACAGTAAAATCAAAATTTCAGGATTCCAACTCTTTCAGTTCACCCAAAAATCAAATCGTACTAAATTTAGTACATAGTAGTACCAATTTCCAAACCCAATCCTACACCTCCACAGTGATCCTAAATCAAAATTTCAGGATTCCAACTCTATCGCTACACCCACAATTTAAATTTTTCCAAATTTAGTACACATAGTATAAATTTCTAAAACTTCCTATATACCCCAACCCTACACCCCCACAGTGATCCCAAATCCAAGTTTCAGGATTCCAACTCTATCGGTTCACTCACAATTCAAATTGTACCAAATTTAGTACACATTTCTAAAACTTCCTACAAATCTCAATCATACACCTCAACAGTGATCCTGACTCCAAATTTCATGATTCCAGCGCTATTGGTTCACCTAAAATTAAAATTGTACCAAATTTAGTACCATTTAGTACCCATGAGTATTATTAAACTGAATCTTGACCCCAATCCCACACCCCTATAGTGATCCTGACTCCAAATATCATTGTTCCCGCTCTATAGGACAATCCAAATCCAAACTGTACCGATTATAGTACGATTTAGTACTTTTCCTACACATACGTAACAAATTTCCAAAACTACGATCATATCCCAATCCTACACTCCCACTGTAATGTTAATTTCAAATTCCAGGATTCCACCTCGATTTGTATCTCCAAATTAAATTTGTACCAAAAATAAATACCATATAATACTTCACGTACAAATGAGTATGCGCTTTCTAAACCATCTCCTTAAATGAGTCCTACTTCTCAACCTTAATTCACACTCCAAATTTCAAGTTTTTAATTTTACCCGTTCACATGCTACAGAATTGTATCAGATTTAGTACATTTTCGTACTTTTCGGATAGTTATAGTTTGAATTTCCAAAAACCCTTTGGTACATCTATCCTACACTCCATCAACGACCACCAAACCAAATTTCAGGGTTCTAGCTCCACCGGTTCGCCAAATACAAATGGTATCACATTTAGTACTTTTCGTACCGTTCTAGTACGTATTTCCAAAAACCCAGCCTTATCTGTCACATTTGGACCAAGAGTGACCCTCACCCAAAATTTCAAGATTCTAGCTTCAGCCGTTTCGTCTGGGCGTTGATGAATCGTTAAATCAGTCAGTCAGTCAATCACTTTACTCTTTTATTAGTATAGATGTTTAGAGGTGTCTACGTATCCTTTACCACGAGCTGATGGCTAGGAAATTTTGCCTAAGGTTGCGGTTATTATTAAGGACAACGCCTATAATTTTCAAAAATGATCACATGATATTTCGGGGATGAAATGCACCAAAAACTTTATTTTTGTCTGATATCCAAGTCGCTCCAGCGCCCAAATTATAAGCCGAGCAACACACACTTCCCATGGGAAAGTCGATCGGACCAAATAATTTGGATGGCTGTCATGATAATGAACCGTCAATATTTAGCGGGTCAAATGAACCAAAACATTTTCGTGAAAAACAAGTAAATAAGTGTCAGTCGGTGTTGCCGGCAGATACATATCTTCAGCCTATTGTTTGTGGAGGTCTTCGGAAATGCGCACAGATTTTATTATTATATTATAATATAAGATATGAATTTTCATCAAAGAGGTTTCGGATTTAAATTTGTAAGTTTATAAAATATTGATCGTTTGTGAGGGAGGTACCGGAAGGAGTGGACTACTGGGTCCCATCTTCGGACTTGATCTAGGCTTGGTAAAGCTAAGAGGCTATGCAAAGTTTGTATCCAATCGGACATTCCATTTACCTCATATTACATTTATAAATATTGAAATTTTTTATCATTTGTGGGGAGGTACCAAAAGGAGTGAAGCAATGGGTCCCATCTTCGGACTTGATCTAGGTTTGTTAATATAATAGCTTATGCAAGGTTTGGTTGAAATCTGACATTCTATTCGCCTGATATTGCATTTATACAAATTTAAAATTTTTAACTTTTGTGCGTAGGTACCAGAAGATGTGGATCAATGGATCCCATCCTTGGACTCTATCTGGGACTGGTAAATATAATAGTTTGTGCAATGTTTGGTTCAAATCTGACATTATATTCGCCTGATATTGCATTTATAAATATTGAAAATTTTGACCATCTTTGGACTTGATCTAGGCTTAGTAAATATAATAGGTTGTACAACGTTTGGTCCGTTCGCCTGATATTGGATTTACAAATATTTTAACCATTTTTGTGAGAGGTACCAGAATGTTTGTACCAATGGGACCCAGACTCGGGATAAACTTGGTAAAGATAAAATGTTGTGCAAGGTTTGGTTGAAATCGGATAGTCCATTCGATTGATATTATAAAATTAATTTTTACCACAATTTTGATCATTTTGTGGGGGGCCGGTACTCCCAATTGGCTGAAATGGATTTGATCCAAAGAACCAATATTTCGATGATGCACATTTTTGTCGTAAAATTAATTTTTAGCACAATTTTGATCATTTTGTGGGGGAGGTACCCGAAAGTGTGGACCGATACTCCAAATTGTTTGAAACGGATTTGGTCCAAAGAAACATGGGGTCTAGAACCAATATCTCGATGAAGCACAGTTTTGTCGTATCAAAGCCTATATACCCTCATTAGCCACAAGGCTGAGGGTATAGTTAAAGAGGTAAGTGGTTAACTGACTCACTTAACGATTCACCAGTGCCCAGAAGAAACGTCTGAAACTAGAATATTCAAATTTGGACTGAGAGCTGCTCTTAGTTCGTGGGTGTCAGATAGGGGTTTTTTTGATTTGGGAATTCGTGCTATAACGGCATGAAAAGTACTAAATATGGTACCATTTGCATTTGGTGAACGGGTAGAACTTTTATATTTGGAATGATGCTCACACAGGGAAATATTCTCGGTTTCAAAAAATTTAAGTTTGTTATTTTGAAGTTTATACTGAAATTTTGCTTCCGAGTTGTTCATTATTGGGGTGACATTTGCTTTCATATTAAAATCAGGTAACTTTTTCCTGATGTGAAAGGTATACGACATATTTTTCTTCCATTTGGAAATTAGATTTGCATATTCACGGATCTTTTATTTTTAATCCACATTAAATCTTACATATTTATTTTCCTCAATATTGCACAAAATAAACTTTACGACCATTTGTCGTTTGCAATCGACGATAATTATTCACCAACAGGTTGCCATGTGTATCACGAATATAACGGAATTGTTCCAATTGCTTGGGATTAACATCAAGGGGTTTGCTGTAAATAATCCACGTAACCACTTCCGAACATGGCGGAGTGGTCAGCGATCCAACATAACTATAAAATGAACCTTTGTTCGCCGACGTCAAACCATCAAATAAATCCGCCAATTTAAAATTTTTAATTCTATACAAAGATTTAGGTAGCGGTGGTACTGTACTGCTTATATTTTGTAAACCCCTAAAGTCCGCTGAAGAATTTGTTCGGTAGAATGCGGTTACAACAGCAATGCCATCTGGAAATTGTGTAGCTTCAGGTAAATCCTTATATTTGGTATTATAGTGCACAGCATGTATCTCAGCCGAGTAGTGCTTATTGTTGATCAAATGTTCGGAACCTTGACCATCATCAGAACCCCAATGAAAATGAACATTATCGAATTGAAATATTCCATCGGGAGGTAAGGGGCCACCACTAATTGTGGGTTTATCTGTTGAATCCTGAAAACGAATATCGATGCCATGACCATTATTGTTTATGCTAGCGTAATACTGTACATCATATTGGGAATATTTCATGGGTGGTGTAATTTTTAGCAAGGCCTGCGGGGCAGATATTTTTGAAATTAATTATTGAAATCGATTTTTTTTTAATTTCAAAATATTACCTCATTTGTATTAAAAGCAATAGGCGATTGCCGCTGCACAGAACCGCATATGGGAAATTTATCTGTCCATTTGTCCTGTTCCATGTAACTCCAAGCTGAAAGGATAATTGAAATTCAATCGATTTTCATGCGAATATTTATCCGAATTATTAAAATTCTACAAACCCACAACACTGCCAATATAGACTAGTAGAAACCAAACCTTGATCATTATTTTGTTTTTCTTCAATTTAAACTTTACCGGTTGTAATCTTAATTGTGTCTGAGACTAGTCACGCTTCATTACCAGATGGTTACCTTACTTGTATCTCTGGCAAATGTAAATAGATATTTGAAATGTAAAGGGTTTCGATTGATTACTAAGACTGAACAGTTACCCTACAGTAATGAGTTTTGAGAAAAAATATGCAAAAGGTTCGGTTAGAACGACCATATGACCTGCAGATGTCTTAGAGGAAAAATATTAAAATATTACACTTGAAGGCGGAGATGGAAGCGGACTTGGAACTTAAATCCAAATAAGAGAGCCTTTTGACATTTCCATTTGATAGATTGAGGTACCACCTTGTGTTGATGTCCGAGACTTAAAACATCAACATTTGTATCAAAGTTAGAATTAAATTGTAAAACAGTTCGTTCGATCATTATTTACAAATTTGGACGTGAAGTGCGTCGTTGAAAATAAGTCCGTTTGTGGCAATGATGGATACAGATGAAATTTGAGTCATGTATCAAAAGCATGTGACATAGAGCCATACTAGGGCACTTCGATCGCCACCCTGCGTTCATTAGTATTCGATGACTAGCGAAATGCACCAAAGGTTTTTGATGTTAAGAGGTTCCTGTTCCCTCGACATTTTTCAAATGCGGACTCTCACTCTAATCGGTACAAGGTGTTTTCTTATAAAGACCAGACAACTTATGAATTGTACATTTTGTATCGAACTTCAATTTAAAATTTTGATTGGTTAACAATTAATAAATAAATGGTAAAACGATGGTGATGTACAATACATGGGACCAACCCTAAATTTCATTGGCTTCAAAGGGAAAACGAGACTCTAATCTCTTGAAGGTCCAAGGCTAATTTTACAATCGAAGTGGATGAAATTTACTATCTTTATGGAAAAATTGCCATTTTGTAGCATATAATGGAATTAACCCCAATCCTACACCCCAACAGTTATCCTGACTTTAAATTTTAGGATACCAGTTCTATCGGTTCACTCAAATCCAAATTGTACAAAATTTAGTACCACTTATTACGAAATTCTACTACATACCCCAATCCTACACTCCAACAGCAATCCGAACATAAGTAGAAATTTCCAAAACTACCTATAGCATACAACCCATAGAAACCTTATTTCCCGCTTTCAGGATTCCAGATCTAACGTTTCACCCAAAATTCAAATTGTACCAAATTTAGTACCTATGTGTACTAATAATTACGAATTTTCAAAACTTCCTGCACCCCAACAAAGATTCTAATTCCAAATTTCAGGATTCCAGCTCTATCGGTTCGCTCAAATCCAAACTGTAGCAAATTTAGTACCACTTAGGACACATTATTACGATTTTCCAACACTTTCTACATTCCACAACAGCAAGTCCAAGCTTCAACATTTCAGGTCTGTCGGTTCGACCAAAATTAAAGTTTTACTAAATTTCGTACCATTTTCTACACATTATTAAAAATTTCCAAAACTTCCAACATATCCCAGTCCTGCACTACCGCAGTAATCCGAACCGCAACATTCAGAATTTCAAGTCTGCCGGTTCGACCAAATTACCAATATGTACCAAATTTAGTACCAATAAGTACAAATTTCTGAAACTACATACATAATTTCCAAATTTCAGTTTTCCAGCTGTATGGGTTCACCTAAATCCAAATTATACCAAATTTAGTACCATTTAGTGCATATAATTACGGATTTCTAAAACTATCTACATATCGCAATTCTACGCTCCATTTATACCAAAATTCAGGATTCCAGCTCCATCCGTACATCCATATAATATTTTTCGTAAACATGAGTACACATTTCTTATAACGACTCTACTTCTTAACCTTAATTCACATTCCAAATTTAAAACTTTTAGATCTATCCGTTCAAATGCTACGAAATTCGGTCATTTTAGTACTTTTTGAGTATTATAATTCGAATTTCCTACACTCCATCAGTGATCCTCATTCCAAATTTAAGTGTTCTAGCTTCACCGGTTCGCCAAATACAAATGGTATCATATTTAGCACTTTTTAGAACTTTTCGTGCCGTTCTAGTACGAAATTGGGAAAAAACCCAGCCTTAACCGAACTATATTCATTGGCCGTGTCCTCTGGGCGTTGATGAATCGTTAAGTCAGTCAGTTAGTCAATAACTGTAAACTTTTATTAATATTAAACCAGTGAGCGGAGCAGTATAGTCGGACGGGGCCGACCATATAATACCCTACACAACTTCCACGAAAATCTTACTTTTTCGTTATTTGCACCCTCTTGAAACCTGACTAAAGGTCAACATATATTACTAATATACAGTAGACGAGGGCTGTACCTGTCCAGGTTCTATTTACCGTGGGTTATGTTAAGTTTTCGGTCCACTTCATCCCGAAATTATTATCTGATCATCACCGAAAGTTATAGGCGTTGTCCTTGACCATAACTGGAATCTCATGGAAATTTTCAAAGCAATCAGCGCTATATTTCCGCCCTCTGGTGTGGTTTTGGGTTACTAAATAATGTCTGAATACGTTAGCACCTGTAAATATATATGTGTAGCTCCCACATCTGAGTACATACGATCATATAATTGGTATCAATTTAAAGGTCAACCACACCTCTTAAACATACTATCAACTTTTTGGGTCTAGGTCCTTCAGGGGCAAATATATACGCCATAGAATACACATTTTGTCATTTTTCACACAAAAGTCAGGGTCCATTTGACCCGCTAAATATTGACCGATCTTTATCAAAACAGGCATGCTTATTCTTTGGTCCGATCCCCTTCTCCATGCAAATTCGCTGTGTTTGAGCCATAATTGCTGCCTCTGGAGCGACCAGAAAATCAGACAATAATAAAGTTTTTGGTCCATTTCATCCCCTAAATATTAACCGATCTTTTCCAAAAACAATAGGGGTCTTCATTGGCCAGAACCCATTCTACATGCAAAATTTTGTGAAGATTGGTCCATAACTGTGGCCTGTATCGTGTTTACAAATTATAATGGACAGACGGACGGCTAGTCGAGATATGACAATCGGTATACTTAAAGGTGGGCCTAGGACCGATATGTCGCGGAGTTACAAATATTAGGAGCTGCACAAAGCTATAATACCCTGACAACATAGTTGTGTAGGGTATAAAAATTGGGAAAAATCGGTTCAGATTTAGATATAGCTCCTATATATAGTTTCGTCCGATTTAAGGTAAATGGTGCACCAAAGTCCCTATATATCTTTCGATTTGAACGAAATTTGGCACAGCGTAATGAATTAGATCCAGAATGATGTGTGTTAAGTTTTTTGAAAATCGGTTCAAATTTAGATATAGCTCCAATATATATGTTCGTCCGATTTAATATAAATTGTACACCAAAGTCCCTATATATTTTTCGATTTGCACCAAATTTGCCACAGAGTACTGAATTAAGTCCAGAATGATGTGTGTTAAGTTTCCTGAAAATCGGTCCAGATTTATATATAGCTTCCATATATATTTTCGTCCGATTTAATGTAAATGGTGTAACAAAGACCCTAAATATCTTTCGATTTGCACCAAATTTGCCACAGCATAATGAATTAGGTCTAGAATGATGTTTGTTAAGTTTTCTGAAAATCGGTTCAAATTCAAATATAGCTTCTATATCTGACCAAGTGAAAAATTTATTATCGGTTGCAGAATGACATGTTTAGTGATCCAATTGCATTTAACTTGTCCTTTAAAAATGCGACGTCTGTTAGGATTCATCTGTTGAATATCCCCAAAGTGGTGAAGGGTATCATATAGTCAGCCCAGTCCGACTTTACTACTTTTCTTACTGGTTTATATTTGTTGCTCATGTGGTAGGAAATATTGGCATAAGTTTCATTAACGGCCTTTCTACTAATTTCATATTATGGGTTCTCATTTGGCGTCGAAGCTACGAAGGAAAAAATTTTAATATAATGTTTCCCTCACTTTCCGTTATTTTGAGGATTTTTAGCGTCATTATATTATTTATCCCTCTGAACATTTATTATACCCAAGGTATTATAACCTAAAATCATACCTCACATAAAAGTAGGGCACTGCATTTTATTACAAAAAATGTTTATGACCAACAAATATTATTGCCATTATTTGTTTGCCACATTTTGCTGTTGTAAAACCTCATAATAAATTTCAAATATTAACCTAAATGTTTATAACTGATCTATGACAATAAAAATGTACACAAACCAACGACTGGGTAACTAAGGCAAGGTAATATACTCAGCAACCAAATACCCAAAAAGTAAATATATTGAATTGCAATGAATGCAACATAATGTAAGTGAATTCAGATCTAATAATTAAAATCAATAAATAATTTTATTATTATTATTATTTTAATTTCTGACAACATAAAAATTAAAAGCAATTTTGTTATTATCATTGCAGCTCATAATATGCTTATATGGCATTTGTTGTTGTTATACAAAATATTCCCGCTATTGAAAAGAAACGAGTAACTGTGATTGTTAATAATTGTGTGTATAGCCAAGATTTCCCATTGAAAACAGTTTACTTATCGTTCTATTTAATTACCTGTTATCATTGACACCTGATAACGTACAGGGGTAAGCCACACATATATATTCGGTATTTGACAAACATTTCCATAATGAAATTCACTTAGAGATAACCACATTTTTTTTAAATAGCCATATAACAGATAACATGGATGACTAGCCGATGGTACTAGAAGATTTTTTTTGACAAAAATTTCGTTAAGTTTGACAGAGCCGAACATTTTATAAACTCCATTATATAGTGTGAATTCAACATTTCAAAAAATCTATATATTGACTATGTCACCATACAAGTAGCCGCAACTTCGTTTGATTTTTCTAGAGCATTTGTATTGTATGAAAGTTTTTTTAAATTGTACAATTTCTCCAAAATTGTTTGAATTTCTACACTAATAGTGGTCAATATAAAAAAAAATTTCACCAATAGTTTTATTTTTTATTTCAATCGTACACTATTACCAAAATAGACCCAAAAACCGAAATCGAAGGTAACTCATACTCTTTATCCACCCAATACCAAATTTCAGTCTTCCACCGTCTCCGCACCGCCTTAACTCAAGTGCGAATTTCTAATATCGATTCCCATTCAAAGGTTAAATACTCCACAATTTAAAGTAGAGTTAATAATAAAAATAAAATATATCCACATGGTTTTTGGTATATACACCCAATGTTGTGTAGATATTATATAATCTGCCCCATTTCACCTTGGTCCTCTCCTTACTGGTTCATTATGAGAATACATAATACGGTATTATATTCGCTTCGATTTGACACGAGGTCCGTGTACAATGACTTTCAGTATACCACAGACAGATCGGAGAAGTAATAAAGGAAAGTTAATTTCAGAAGCAGAAAATAACAGTTTATTGAAGGAAATATCGGATATAATATTGATTACATTTGAATTATTGGATATATGTGTAAAGAAAGAAGAAAACACAAAAAACATATATAAAAGAATATTGTGTTTCAATCTTTAAGGAGACCTGAGTATACTACTCGTCCGTTTCTTGGTTTTATCGGACGTACATTTGTATAAATCGGTTCATTACTTTCATCCCGCAAAGGTAGAAACAAATCATACTCAAATCTACGAATACGTTTGCCAAGTTTCAAAAGAATAATGTCCGCATCCGCGCATGGTGGTGTTGTCAAAGAACCCCTATATTTAAAGTACGCATGACTAAAATCTGGTAACAATAGATCCTGCATGTCTATAAAGCATATAACACTAATTATTAACAGCCCATCAGGATGATTACAGGCCTCATTGAAGTCCACATAGATGTCGTTGATGAACACATAATGCAATTCACAATCATAGCGCAGGCCGTTAAAGGCGTTCTCCGATGATGGAGCGCCATTATACCGCCAATGGAAGCGGAAATGGTCGAATTTATATCGTGGGCCATTTGCATAGCGCACTGCAGGCCTATAGAGTAGCCCCACCAAACGGCCAGTTACATAGCGGCCATTATTATGCAGTTGTACTACATATAGTAGGTTGATATCTTCAAACAACAATGCGTCGAATACAACTCCGACAACCAGCAGACGAAAAAACATATTAACACGTATACTTAAGGATATGTGACTAGATGCAGCCATGCACATACATCATCAAGAACTACATCAATGGGCGATTGGTAAAGTCCTCCACATTTGGGATAAGTATAGGGCCAAAAGCTCTCCAAAGGGTAGGTCCATGGATCGGCTAAGAGATACATATGACAGTAGGCACCAGTTGCCGTTAAATGTTATAGGTAACATCTGCACTTACCGTTAACGCTGCACAAATCAATCGAGGATAACAATAAAATACTCAAAATACGTTTCATTTTGATGAAAAGTGTTGTGTTGTGTTCCGTCGAATACATGTTCCAAAATTGCTGGCGTATTTATATAAATTCACTTGCTACCATTAATTAATACTTGAACAAAGAATGACCAAAGTTATGACCAATGAACACCTGTGCATACCCAATATATAATGCCTTTGGAAATATCAAAATTTTCATCTAAGGTATTTGTCCTGATCAGCTTGTATATCTGTAGCGTGTGATCTTGTAATCATACAATGCCACCGAATCGAACATCGGACCAAGTGTCCGATGTTGTGGTTGTTATCGCCATTCGGTGTGAATAATAATCATACATATACAAGTATCATTTGTATATGTATATGTGTGCCTTCTTTAATTCAACGCAGTACCCTTTTGCTAAATGATTTTGAAGTTGTAGATATCCATGAATCCGATCATTTGTCTTTGTATTTCTCGACTAACACCGATATTCATTGGTCATAACTTCTTAATTCTTTGTTGAAGAATTAATTAATGGTAGCAAGTAAATATGTATAAATACCCCAGCAATTTTGGAACATGTATTAAGAACTCATTAAGGTGCAAATGAGTTATTACCAATTCAATTCGACGGAAAAATAGATCTTAGTCGATCCATGGTCCTATCCTTTGGATAACCCCAGGCCCTCTACTTATACCAATCGTGGATGACTTTACCAATCACCCATTGATGCAGCTGTTGATGACGTATGTGCATGATTCGTTGAAGTAGTCGCAATTGTTGTTTGAAAACATCGCACTACTATATCTAATAGAACTCCACAGTAATGACCGTTATATAACTGGCCATTTGGTGGGACCACTGTCTAGGCCCGCAGTGCGCATTGGAAATGGCCAACGATATAAATTCGACCATTTCCGCTTCCATTGGCGTTATAATGGCGCTCCATCATCGGAAAACTCCTTTAATGGTCAACACTTTTATTGTGAATTCCATTATGTATTTATCAACGAAAACTATTTGGACTTCGATGAGGCCAGTAATCATCCTGATGGGCTGTTAATTATTAGTGTTGTATGCATTATAGACGAGCTCATCGATGCATCGTTATTGAGAGCACTCGTGTCGGCAGTCCAAGCAATTGTGAACTTTGACTCTTATGCATATGCTGTTGATGTTACACTATTCGATTTCATTAAGGATCTATTGTCACCAGATTCTAACCATGCGTACTTTAAATATAGGGGTTCTTTGACAACACCACCATGAGCGGATGACGATATTATTCTTTTGAAAAATCCACAGCATATTCGTAGATATGAGTATAATTTCTTCCTACCATTGCGGGATGAAAATAATTTACCGATTTTGGGATAATGCAAAATCAAAGACAAAGACAAAATCAATATTTAGCGGGTCAAATGAACCCAGACTTTTGTCTGAGAAATTACAAAATGTGTGTTCCATAGATAGGCCGGATATGTTGATTGAATAGCCGAGACATTGTTATGATATTGTTTAGTATTACAATAGCACACAAGAGGGCGGAAATGTAACACTGGTTGAAATGGAAATTTTGCATTATCTGCTGGTTATGGTCACGGTTGACGCTTATACTTTTCGATTATCCTATTTCGGCAATGAAATGGACCAGATAATTCATTTTTGTTGGGTTTACTAGTCGCTCTAGACACCACAGTTATAAGCCGAACATCACCAATTTTCCAGAGACCAACTAATTAGAAGGCTATTCTGATAATGATTGGTCAATATTCAGCGGTTCATGTTATGACGTAAATGTTCACTCCGGGAAAACAAAATTCGGAATATATGTCAGGGTAATAAAGAGTAAAACACTACATTATTTTAATAACCTCCATACGAACTGTTGCAAGCATTGATTCTTTTGAGGTAATTTTCGACCATTTTTGGCACATATTGCACAACATCTTAGCCCCAATTTAATTGATAAATGTTGATATTTAAGTACTCCAGCGCTGAAGTCTAATGGTGTAAGATCGTATGGTCCTGATGGCCAGTTTATATCACAACGACAAGAAATTGCGCGACCAGGAAGTGTCTCTTGCAATAAAGCCATATTTGCTCGAGTTGCGTGGCACATGAAAACACAAATTCTCCAATTCGTATCCTTCAATAGCAGGCCAAATGTTCGTTATCATATGACCATAACGCTTCGAATTAACGGTGACAGTCTTTTCATCGTCATTTCCGAAGATTTAATGTCCAATCACAATCTCGAAGCAAAGAACGGGCCAAACAAAATATTTTGATGTAATGGTCGGTCTCTCTTCAGTTACAAGAGGACTCTCAGAACTCCAAGTACGACCATTTTGTTTTTTGACATATCCGCGACTGAGAAATGTCCATCATCGCTGAAGAAATTTTTGTTCGAATTATTGCCCACCACGACATTGTGAATGGTCAGTTGGTTTCAGTTTTTACGTGATCTGTACTTTATATGGATGTAGGTGGAGATCTGAATGCAAAATACGGCATAATGTGGCGCAAGACATTCCTAATTATTGAAAACAACGAAGCATCGGCACATTCGGGCCTTACAATATTTGTAAACGCTCCAGCATTTTTTGATTGCTTCAGAATTATGTCAATTGCTTGCGTATTTGAAAGATTATGTAGACCATAATCTCCTCTTAAAGCACAATAAGTGGCAGTGGCAGAATCACAAAGTTTTGTATAAGGTTTTGATCATGTCTACGTGTTGTGAGATGAGCAATACATTTCCGCTAATGTCAGATTCAATTGAAAGAAATCTAGTTTGACAGATGTCGAGTTTTAGTCCCACACTTTTGAAACCACGAAATGATTAACCCTTTACTTCCGAATGAGGTATTGAATGGCAGGTGTACAGATTTCTTTCACTCATAGATAACCTCGTGTATATACCCAATGTTGTGTCGATATTTTATATTCAGCCCCATCCCACCTTGGCCCTCTCCTTACTGGTGCATTATGACAATCCATAATACGATATTACATTAGCTTCGATTGCAAACTAGGCCCGTGTACATTGACTTCTTAGTATACCAGAGACAGAGCTGAGGAGTAATGAACGAAAGTTAGTTTTTGAAAAAGAAAATAACAGTTTATTGAAGTAAATAGCGGATATAATATTGATTACATTTGAATTGTTGTAAATATAAAGAAAGAAGAAAATACAAAGAAAAATTAAAAAAACAAAAAATGTGCTTTAATCACTCACAGCACAACCTTTTAGAGTCCTGCGTTTATTACGCGTCCGTTTTTTGGTTTTAACGGACGTACATTTGTATAAATCGGTAGGTGATTTTCATCCTGCAAAGGTAGGAATAAATCATACTCCAATCTACTAATATGTTTTGGATTTTTCAAAAGAATAATATCGGCATCCGAGCATGGTGGTGTTGTCAAGGAACCCCTATATTTAAAGTACGCATGGCTAGAATCGGGTGACAATAGATCCACAATGAAATCCAAGAGTGGAACATCAACAGCATATGCATAAGTGTCAAAGCCCACAATTGCTTCGACTGCCGACACGAGTGATGTCAACAACGATGCATCGATGGAGTCGTCTATAATGCATAAAACACTAATAATTAACAGCCCATCAGGATGATTGCTGGCCTCATCGAAGTCCAAATAGTTTTCGTTGATGAACACATAATGGAATTCACCATCATAGTGGTGGCCATTAATGAAGTTCTCCGATGATGGAGCCCCATTAAAACGCCAATGGAAGCGGAAATGGTCGAATTTATATCGTGGGCCACTTCCAATGCGCACTGCGGGCCTAGACAGTGGTCCCACCAAATGGCCAGTTACATAACGGCCATTATTGTGGAGTTCTATTAGATATAGTAGTGCGGTATTTTCAAACACCAATGCGTCAAATACAACTGTGATCACCTGCAAATAAAAAAAAAAAAACAAAACATATTCATATACATATCTAAGGACATTTGTCTTGAAGGAGTCATGCACATACCTCATCAACAACTACATCAATCGGCGATTGGTAAAGTCCTCCACACTTGGGATAAGTAGTGGGCCAGAGGTTCTCCAAAGGGTAGGTCCATGGATCGGCTAAGAGACACATATGACAGAAGGCACAAGTCTGTTAGTAGCACTTAGTTAAATGTTATAGCTAACATCTGCACTTACCGTTAACGCTGCACAGAGCAATCGAGGATAACAATAAAATACTCAAAATACTTTTCATTTTGAGGGAAAGTGTTGCTGTTGTTAGTATTTTTAAGAAGTAGCAAATGAGTTCTGAATACAAGTTCCAAAAATGCTGGGGTATTTATACAATGTTGCTTGCTACCATTAATAGATAAACAAAGAATTAAGAAGTTATCACCCATGCACACCTCCGCATTTTCATATCGGTCTCCGTCGAGAAAGTCAAAGTCAAATGACCGGATACGTGAATGTTTACAACTTCAAAATCATTTGGCAAAGGTGTTTTGCGATGAATTAAAGAAGGTTGAGGAAAACACGCGTACACATGCACACACACTCACCCGTACACAAAATATAATGCCTTTCGAAATGTCAACATTTTCACCGTAGGTATTTGTCCTGATCAGTGGTAGCGTGTGATCATGTAATCATACAATGCCATTGAATCGAACATCGGACACGTGTATGGGCTGTGGTGGTTATCGCCATTCGGTGTGGATAACGATTATGCCAATGTGGCACGGAGACCCCACAAAGTCTATATATTTTTGATCAGAATTAAGAATGGATAATATTTCTGAAAATTCGAGATTGATAGTGTC